TTACTCCGAGACGACGGCATGAGACGCGCGCAGTTGTGGCGCGTATGGGGCCGTCGCCCAGCCGCACGCGACGAAGCAGCTTTCAGCTGCTAAGAGAAGCTGCGAGGAGAGACATATGAGCTGCTTATCATATTCATCATCTTTTTTTACACATCCAGAAGAGGTTCACGCTTTTGCCTAGGATGGTATGAACGAAGCGTGACTCGGACCATAGGCACCGACCGAGTCAGCTGCACGCGCAGAGTCGGGCCTACCATTGCGGCATTTTCTTTGCTGTACAGTTGCCTATTCTAATGTGGCCAGGCGCGCTCAACGAGGAAGCCTTAGTGGTAGGTCTGACCTCGTCCGTACAAATAGCTTAGACTGTACCTTTCAATTGAAATATGAAAAACCGTGACTAAATTGGAGTGGCAGTGAACAAACCTCAGAATAAGTTCCTTCAGTAGTGAACCAGGCGTAAATGGCGTAGCCAGGAATACAGAGCATGGACGATAATGAGAGGAACCAGCCGAACACATGACCCCAGAGCGGATAATCGTAGTTGTAGGCAGTGATACGTAGTGGCTGATATTTCACCAAACCAAAAATCATCACACCCTGTAATAGAAACATCAACTGTTGAATTTTATCCAATTGCTGGCGCTGAATAAGTCGATTTGGAAAGGTGCCATCCAATCTCATTGAGTTCAGACTGGTATACGGTTCTTACAACAGCTTGCGAGAGCTGAAGATAAAGTAGCCAGTTGCCGTTGAGGGGAGGTGGTGTTTAGTTAGCGATCACCCCATCACTAACATGAACTGCTTTAGCTACTTTCTATAACAGGCCTGATATTACAGTTCCAGATTCACTTTACAGCCAATAATTCAATGGTGGTGTTGGATGGAAGTTGGTGAAGGGATAAGTGGCGCCGCTTACCGCACCAATGGCGCAGTCTCGGATAGTATCTCCCGGAACAACGAAGTCTTCCATCCGGGTGTGGTCAATTAAAATTAAACTCATCATGGAGGATAAGACAGCGATAGGACAGACAAGACATTTTCGCCAATTCCCTACTTGAGTAAGCTGAGCCGCTTGCAAAACGCCAGCTTAAGTGAGTAGGGCGGCGCATCCTGAGCGTCCGTCGACAAACTTCGGAGCTTTACTTTCACTTCCAGAAAAAAAGCTTAAAGGTTGATTTGCTAGTAATTCTCTGACAAAACTTTGTATAAATCCCTCCAGATCAAATAATCAGAAGATTCTTCGCTTATTTCACGCTTTTTTCAGCTATGATCCGCTGGAATGTTAGCGTCTTTCATCTCACCTCACACGGCTGCTCCCCAATCGCAAATTTAATGTGACAAATTAATATCACCAGCTGCGGTATCCTTCAAGATCTGTCAATGACAACTGTTCAACTAAAAGGCGCCAGCTGTGGCTGGTGCCACTGGTGGAAGTGTGAGGTCAGCGAGTGTGAAAGCACACACCATTTATCTTTTCGTTGCGTTCTTCGCGTTCTTCCCATGGAAGTGAGATGAGTTTTTGAGCAAAATAATCTCGACCAACGTGATAAGAATGTACGGTAATGTATCTTTTTGAGGAATGGTAATTGCGAACTAGGACTAGGAGAGCTTTCATCCTGGCAAGCTCAGAAATCTGATACCGAAGACGTTTGGTGTTTTCGAACACTATGTAGACTACGCAAGAAGCTAGAAACGCATTCGAGTTTCGTTTTTTTTTGTTTTTGAAAGGAAGCAAGCATGCGCATCATAGAGAGGGTATGCAATGTCCCCCCTGTATCGCAAGGTTTTTGGAAGCGCAACTCCAGACTCTCTAACGGAGAGTCCTAAGGATAGTGAAGGGCGCAGTTTTGGCAGTTGCGAGGGTACAGAGTGAAGAGGCGCGGAGAAGTATGTGTCAGAGAGGAAAGTTCGGCTTGAAAACACGCAGTCGTCGCTCGGATCTGCTACTGCCCTCAGGTATGCTTCTTTCCTCTGACACTAAACTTGACTCTTGAATCCTAAGAACTGACGTAATCAACGCTCAACACCTGTAGCGTTGTCGCCTTTAGCACC